CCCTCCCTCCCCCTAAAATGGACCCCTGTTTTTTTTTTCCCCCCCCCCCCCCTCCCTCCCCCTAAAATGGACCCCCCCATTTTGTAATTTTTTTCTTTTTTTTTCAATGGGGGGGGGTGGGGCCCTGGTCGTGCGGTGGGAATCCTGACCCCGATTGTCAGTACCCCCCTCCCCTTGGTCGTAGCGAGCCGATTTTGGCCGCGGCCGTGGCGGTCATGACCGCGGTCCCTCGTCCTCGACCGCGGGCCGCGGTCATGCCCGCGGTGACCGCGACCGCTGGGCATGCATAGACGTTTGTTACATTTGGTGAGCAGTGGAGAAAGAGCCCTGGTATCAGGCTCAATGTTTTTTTTTTTTTTTTTTTTTTGCCATATGTCGACCATTTCTCAATTCATGCGAAGGTATAGGCATATATTGGATTTTTTTGGGTGGGGGCTTCTCCGAAGTTAGTGCCCAAAATCCGTAGCATTACGCATGTGCATTGTATACGAATACGACGCACCCTGCGCGTTGTATTCATATACAACCCTCGTGAGTTTTGTTCGGGGGAAGACTGTACTGAAGTACAATGCTCGACACCCACCCGTGCGCACGGGTTTCAGGACACAGATACAAACTGTGGGATCCAGGCGGCCACCATATAGGATGTTGCCCCCCTTTACACTACGAAACACCCGCAGACGCATCCGCGAGGTCGAGCTCGGAGAGCGGCCGTATAAACGGCCGCGTCCGCAGCCGACCTCGTCCGCGCCACGGATGTGAATTTGCCGCATTATTCCTGAATTAAATAAAGGGTAAAATATATATATATATATATGTATATATATATACAGGGTTACCTGACTGAACGTTCAGGGGCCCCCGGGCTGGCCCCCAAACGGTCGGGCGTTCGGGGTCCCGTTCAGGGGCCGAACACCTCTAGGTTCGGCCCCCGCCAAAAAAACTTTCGGGGCCTAAAAATCAATTTTGTTTTCTGAATTGTTTTTTGTGAGTTCTCTATGATGTAACCTACACGCCTGTAAAATTTGAAGCCATTCTGCAAAGCCAAAAAAACATTAAAAATCCTCAAAGATGGGGATGTCAAAACGTGCTCGTCCACTCACTATTTTGTTTTTTTTTCACTTTTAACTTTTTGTTTTCACTTTATTTCGGGACCTAAATAATTTAATTGTTTTTTGAAAATTTTTTAATGAGTTATTGATTATGTAAACTACATATCTGTAAATTTTCAGGGCATTTGACAACGCCAAAACATTATTAAAAATTGGCAGAGATGGCGGTGTCAAAACGGTGTTGGCACACTCACTCATTTTAATTCTCTTTTTATTTTTTCTTATTTTTATCATAGTGTTTATTTTCTGTATTTGATTTGTAATTCGAATTTGGTAAAGAATTTGGATGCAGTGCCCAGGCAAATGGTGTTTAGTTTATTTTTCTCCATAACATATTGTTTTTTTGGATTGTTTTGATTTTTATTATT